TGCCTGGGAGCAGCTTCCACACCACAAAACGGGGGAAGGGGTGGTAGAGCATGGCAGTTTTGTCACGCTCAGGAGAGGGGGGGCCAAGTCTGGGGCTGCAGAAGATGCAGGAATTTGTGCGGCAGGGTACCGAGAAGACAGCAAAAGCCAGACTCCCTCTCTGCAACACAACGATGTTCAACAACAATAAAATTCACTGTACATGTGAATAAGCAGGAAAAAGTGACAGGTAATCTAAGGTAAAGCCTGTCAATGAAACACACCCTGAAATGACCCATGTGTTGTAATTAGCAGACGAGGGCTACTGTAATAAATATGCACTATAAATATATGCAAGGCTATCAAGAAAAAGATGGAAACAATGAGTGAACAGATGGGAAATATCAGCAAAAAACTTAACCATCAAAAGGAACCAAACGTAAATTTTCTATAATGAAAAGTACAACGCCTACATGAAAAACACTTTTACTGGATGGTTACCACAGACAATCCGATACTATAAAAAAGGGGTGGATAAAGGGATCTTAAAGACAAATCAATAAAGATTATCCAAACTGAAAAAAGGAGGGAAAGATTTTTTTAGAAAACCACCGCTTAACGGCCCGATGACAAAATTAAACGGTCCAGCGTATACATAATTGCAATCCCAGAAGAAGTGCAAATGGGGCAGAAAAAAATATTGGAAGAAATGCTAGCCAGTAGTTCATCCAAATTTCATGGAAGATATCAACATTCAAATTCTGGAAACTCAATGACCTCCAAGAAGGAAAAACACGAAGAAAACCACACCTGCGCAGATCACAGTCAAACTGCTGAAAAGCAAAATTAAAACAGAAAATGTTCAGAGGAAAAAAGACAAATTACATACAAAGGAGGCACAACGAGAAAATGAGCTGACATTTCCTCATAATCCATGAGGATTAACAGATGATGTAATGTCATCTTCTTGGTAGGGTGGGTGGGTGCTGTCTACTTAGAATTCTATATCCACCAAGAATAAGAAGGAAATACACACATTTACGTATTTAAAGAAGGTGCTGGAAGAGTTCATCACTGGCAGGACTGCACGAGAAAGGCTGAGGGGGACAATGCCAGGCGAAAACACTGATCAAAGGGAAGAAATGATGAGAACGAGGTAGGTTAACATGTGAGTAAACCATTTTCTTTTAATTTCTTACACACGCTCGCTCGCTCTCACACACACGAGTCCAAAGTATAAGCAAGGAAAAGGTATCTGCCAAACAGTAAGCGTAAGAAGCTCATGAGCCTGTGTTAACAATCGGAGGGAGACGACTTTTAGACGAGACGAATTACCAAATATAGGGAGGGACTTTTCCTAGTGAGAACAGTGTCAATTTATCACGGAAGACACAATTATATATACCTAATACCAAATAACAGAGCTTTGAAATACACGAAACAAAATCAGATCGTACTAAAAGGAGAAACAGACAAATCCATATCGTACTTGGACGAAAAAATTAGAGAGTATATAAAAGACTGAAATAATGACATCAACTCCTTCCAGCATCGACGGCTTCCCCCATCCAAAGGCTCCAGAACGCACATGCTTTTCAAGTGTGTGAGGGATGTTTAATAAGATAAATCATATGCTCAGCCATAAAATGAGTCCCGATAAGTTTCGAAAGGTTGAAACCCTATAGAGTATGTTCTCTAAGCATAAAGAAATTAAATTAGCGATCGATGAAAATAAAGTATCTTTCAAAAAAAATCTCCAGAGTTAAGAACTGAATAATATACTCTTTAAAAACCACGGATTAAAGAAGAACTCACAAAGAAAATGAGAAAATATTTTAAACTAAATGAAAACTAAAATGTATCAAAATTGGTGGGCTATAGCTAAAATCAGGCTTACAGGGAATATTTACGGCATTAAAAAAATGGATTGGAAAAGAAGAAAGGTTTGAAATGATGATCTAAACTCAAAGTGAGTATAAGGAAGAAAATAATATAAAGATCAAGAGAAGAAAAACGGGCAAAAATCAATAAGCAAAAGAGAAAAATCAACAAAATGAAAAATTGTTTCTGCGAAAAGATGAATATAATTGACAATCCCCTAGCAAAACTGATTGAGGAAAAAAAGGAAAACACAGATTTAAAATACCGGGAAACAGGGGCTTTCACCGCAGGTGCTAAGGACACTGAATGAATACTACGAACAACTTTATGGCCCAATAAATTCAACCAATTAGGTGAAATGGACAGATTCCCTAAAAGACACAAACTACCAAAAGTGATACAAAAAGAAATGGAAAAATCTGAATAGCCTGATATCTGATGAAGACATTATATTGCAGGAAGCACTTTCTACTTAGAAAACGCCAGGCCCAAATGGTTTCAATGACAAATTGAGACATTTAAGGAAGACATCATAGCGAGGTCACACCTCCCTGTTTGGTGCACAGAGGAGGGGACATGTTCCAGCTTGCTGTACAACGACTCCCTGTCCCCGATACAAAACCTAACAAGAAACTGCGGAGCAAAGTCCCTTAGGAGCATGGACCCAAAAATCCACAACGAAAGACGAAGATTAAACCCAGTGATGTGTAAAATATAGTATAGTATACCATGGCTCGCGATATGTATAACGTAGTACATCATGACTCTCAGAAACTTGAGCCAGTTTGACCCCCTCCCCAAATGAAACGACATAATTCACCACATCGATGGGGGGTGGGGGGGAACCACACGATCACCTCCACGTCTGCAGAAAACGCATGTGGCAGATTCAACGCCCTAGGACGAGGCTAATTCTCAGTAAGCATTCTCATGCTGACTCGTAAACACTTACTTAGGAATAGAACTCCCTGTGCCCACGAAGGGGTCCCTATGAAAATCCCACAACAAATACGGTATTTTATAGACGAAAGAATAAATGCTTGCCTCCAAGGTCAGGAACAGGTAAGGATGTCTGCTTTTACTGGGTATACTCAACATCGCCGACAATGGATTTCTTAGCCAACGCAATAAAGTAAGTCAAAGAAATGAAATGCATTAAAAACTGGAACGAAAAATGTAAAACCATCTTTACTCAAAAATAATTTTTAAAAATTTATCATCTGTATTGAGATATCATTCACATGCTAAAAATCCTCACCCATTTATAGTGTACAATCTGATGGTTTTTAGTACATTCAGAGTTTTGCAGCCATCCTCACCATCTAAGTTTAGAGCATCTTTATCACCCCAAAAAGTAACCCCGTACTTATGGGCAATTCCTCCCCACCCCTTCTGGAAAATGAAATTTTAAAACACGATTTACAATAACAACATAAAATAGTTAAGAATAAATAAAATGAAAGACTTCTACATAGAAAATCATGAATAACTCCTGAGAGAAATTAAAGTAGACTTAAATAGAAAATGTACCATGTATATGGACTGGAAGATTCAATAGTGTCAACTTTCTCCAAATTTATCTATAGATTCAAAGAAATCACAATAAAAAATTCTCAAGGAGCTTTTTTTTTTTTTTTTACGCCTACAGCACCTGATCTTCTCAGGTGGTCTCCCCTCCAAGTACTAACCAGGCCTGACCCGGCTTAGCTTCAGAGATCAGACAGTATCGGGTGTGTTCAGGGTAGCATGGCCGTAGACTCAAGGAGCTTTGTGGCAGTTAATGAAAATTAATTGACTTTTACCCACCAAAGGTGCTAAGGTCAGTCAACAGGGAAAGAAAAGTTTTCTCAACAGACCCTCACCTCACACCATACACAAAAATTTATTCAAGATGGACTGCAGACCTAAATCTACAAGCCCAAACTACGACTCTTATAGACTCTTACAAAAAAAAAAAAATCAAATAGTATCTTTGTAATCTTCAGGTAGGCAAATGTTTCTTAGACCACACCATGTAATAACCATTTTCAAAATTTCATAGCAGGACTGCAACAAAATTGTAAAATTTTGACATTAAGGACACCGTTAAGAAAGCGAAATGGCTACACTCAGACTGTATGAAAATATTCCCAATATAGTCTGGCACCTGGACTGTATCGAAACCTCCTACAAATCAGTAACAAAAAGACACATACCCTCCAAAACTGGGAAAAGACTTCTACAGACACTTTTCCAGAAATAAAATATTATGACATTATATGCGAATATAATTATGGACATAAGTACATGAAAGGTGTCCGACTCAGCAGGACATGAACATTGAAACCACAGCGAGAAACCAGTACACGCCCACCAAAATAGCAAAAAACAAAAAGACTGACCACGCCAAGTGCTGACAAGGAGGCAGAGCCACGGGAAGTCTCCCGTGCCGCTGACGGCAGGGCACGGCCACGCTGGAAGACCAGCTGGCCGTTTCTCACACAGCCGAACCCACTCCTGCCCTTTGGTCCAGCAATTTCTCTCCTAGTTATTTATTTAAGAGAAGTGAACATGTTACGTCCACTAAAAAACACTTTAAGAATGTTCACAGCGGCTTCATTCATCATAGCAAAGCCCTGACAGCCCTAAGCATCTCACAAGAGAATGAATAAATAAATCATGAAATACCCATATTATAAAATATTCCTCGGCAATAAAAACAAGCAGCTATTAACACACATTACGATCCAGGTCAATATCAAAATCACCGTGCCAAGTCACAGCAGCAGGATGAAGGGAGAGGGTTTCGTAGGCTGCACAAATCCGTTTACGTGGGCAGGGGATGAATCCGCGGTGACACGGACCAGAGCGCTGACCTGAGGGGGCTGGGGTCAACTGCATGAGGGCATGAGGCAACATTCCGGGGGGATGGGCACATATGTGCATTTTGTCACAACGCGCTGAATCGCACTTACGTGTATTTCATTGTGTCTTGATAAAAAAAAGTTTTTCAAAAAATAATAAACACAACAAAAACTTGCTCAAAAAAAAAAAAAATCAGAAGGATCCGCTGAGAATCAGAGGTTGACTCGTTTAAAATCTCGCGTCCGTATGCAAAGATCACGCACAGAAATCAGGACCAATAAAGGAGGAAGCAATACCTGTTAACTCTCCTTGGGCATTTCTCTGGCTTGATATCCAATTCATAGTGATAGATGTCGATTTTTGGAATGTCCATTTCAAAGAAGTTGGCCTGTAACTTGATTGTTCTCCCGGAGGTCCCGAAGTCGGGTCTAGGCGGAGGCTTGAAGGCATATCCTTGGATGGGGGGTGGTGGCGGTGCGGGAGGCGCGAGCACTGGAACAGAAAGGTCACTGTCACACGGGGGAATCACTGGCTTTTCTGAGGCAGGGCAGAGCCTGGGCCCGGGACTGAAGCACTGCGGGGTGGGGGGTGGGATCCTCCAGCGCCCACGCAGTCCCTCCCGCCTCCCAGGACCCGCGCCCTCAGTGACCCTCCAGGGCTTCCAGTCTCTCTTCTTCCCTGTTCACATGGTCCCAAAGAAAACCTGGAACTCACGCCCTCCCGCCCCCAGGCAGACCTGGTCGCAAAGACCCTCCAACTGCCACGCTCAAGGAGGCCCGCCCTCACCACCTGCTCCACAGCATGTGCTCCTCGGTCTTGGTGGCACGTGACATCATGCCAAGTCCTCCCTTTTCAAACCACCCCCTCCCTGGTCCTCTCCCTGCTCTGCCCAAATCCTCCCAAAGTTGCACTCTCCCCTCCAGCCCTCTTCCTTCTCTCCGAGGGCGCCCCGCATCCACTCCTGCGCCCACGGTCAGCCTCCACCACGAGGCCACGCCCACCCGGTCCCGAGACGCCGCCCGCGGCCTTCACAGTCTTGCCTGCTTGTCTCTCAGACACTATTTCCTACCCACCCCTCTCTGCCTCCGCGTGGGTCCCCACTTCATCCTGCGCAGGTCATTACAGAAGCCTCCTGGGGGGTGGCCTCGGCTTCCAGGCACCCCCTCATCCATTCTCCGCACTACAGGCTGGCATGTCTGAGCTCACCTGTCCCAACACCTCATGGCCCCCAGCATCCGGCTCTGACGTTTAGGCACGCGCAAGTGTCCGCAACCTAGCAGCCTCGTCTCCATGGCTCCGAGGCCACCCTGCCCAGGATGCAGCCTTCGCACTCAGACCCCCGCCCCTGTCTGCTCTGTCCAAGGGTCCTGGTGGCTTCACTGGCTCCTTTCTACTCACGCCTCCAGCTCACTTTATCCACGCTCCACGCAGACGTGCTCCCCTGTGCCATCGTCACAGCTGGCTATCTGTCTCCCTAGTGGGACACTGGGCAGCTGGAGGATCGAGATCGCTGTCTGCCCAGGGTCTGGGAGCACGGATGATGCAGAGTAAGAGCCCAGAAACATCTGAGCAGGCCCCTCCGTTTAGATTTGAGGAAGGTAAAGTCAGACGGGTGAGGGTAGGGACCGCCCGAGTCACTCAGAGAGCATCCTCTACAATGGGCCACCCAAGTCACAGAGAAAGATGTCTGGACATCAGGAATCAATGAAGCCAAGCCCTCCTGACACCAGTGTTCACGCACCTGCCCCACCGCCC